TTTGTGATACAGCAGAAATTTGTCCCTGACGCATGGAGCCTTCAAGGGGAGATTAAAGAGATGGAAACTCTGAAGGATTCTGAACCCTTGTCTTGATGAAGAAGAAAAAAAATGGAGAGTGGAGAATATTTGACCTGCAAAACTTTCTGTGCTCTTGAAAGATGATACAAATAATATTAATTTTCAGATACTATCTACTACTATGGAAGAGCACAGATGGGTCTGGTAAATACTTGGATGGGAGTCTGCTGAGTTACTAAAGGAAGCGGTGTTGATGGCTTAGTAGGAGACCCTCCTTTCTCTGAGCTTATACTGAATCCATGATTTCCAATGGCATTAGGGAAGCTGCACGGCAGAGAACAGTCATACATGGTTGGTAGAATCAGAGATAAGGAGCTTAGGTGCTTGTCTTGGTTTCTGTTGATGCCAGCCTAAGTGGTTGCTAATGCTGATACCGACTTTTCAGTTGATAGTGACTCTCTCTCCAGGGGACACTGACAGGGATTCTGGAGTCTGAGTCAAAACAATTTGGGCATAGGAGTCTAGATATGGAATGAAAATTCATGCAATCATGGCATGTTATTAAAAGAAATAAAGCTTGGTATTTAAATAAATTTTTCATTTAAGGATTTATTAAACGCTAGAATGCAAAATAAGTACTGCAGTATTATTTTAAGCTTAGCTAGTATTTTATTGCCTATGAAGTCAGTTCCCTGTTGATAAAATGCTCACCCTGAATCCAAAGCACTAGTATCCAGAGAAGCTGGGCCTGGGAGAGCATCTTGACAGGTCTCAGTGGGGAATGCTGAACAGCTCACCAGGCAGTGCAAACGGAACCATTTATGAACTCTCAGCAGCCCAGTCAGGGAATGTCCCTCCTGAGTGAATATGCAAATGACCCATTCATATAAATGTGCTGCGTTTTAGATCCAAGGGCATTTCCTGTTACTCTTGTGTGGTGTTGGTCTCTGTAGCCTGGTGATAGGGACTTATGAGGTAAAGTTGCAACACTGATGATTTTATGAGTGGAATATCTGAAGGGCTCTATGGGGAGGGCATCAGGAATGTTGTATGTGACCTTGTATCTAAGTAGTTAAAATCTCCCAGCCATATTTACAGCACTTTTCAGATCTGTTTATCTCCCTTTACCTTACTTTTTGCTATGAAAATATTCCTGGATGTCCCCAGTGTCTTTGCCTGAGGAGATAGTTGGGCTGATGTTCTGTCCAGATTCTCCTGACAGTCAATGTCTCTATGGGTGTGCAAGGGTGCGGCTGTGCTAGGAGCTCTTCCATGCGGAGACGAGAGTGTAACCTTTGCACCCACACAAAGCCAAGCAATGTATGTAGCCAGCACCACTAATTACCCCAGGAGTGGCTGTGAGGCAAGATCTCCACCCCCTGCACCAGCCATAGAGATTGCCAGCTCTGGAAGGTGGTGTGTGTGCAGCGCCCACTCCAGAAACAGTGCAGCAGCTACATTCTCCTTGCTTGCTGTGGGGTTCAGAGAAGCATTGAGTAATTTCTGGTGGAGCTTCTTTTGCTGGGCTGTGCTCCCAGTGCAGACCTGCGCAGAATGGTGTATGTGAGCTCTTTATCTGGAGAAAGCAAGATAGTGTACCTATCTCCCCCTCCCCTGCAAGGAGAGTGTGCGTCTTTGTCTCCTTCTAGTTGCTGGTCTCCATGAGAAACCTGCTCTCTTAAGACTCACTCCGCAAAGCTATTTTGACACCTATCTCCCATTGATTCCAATACAAATTAGGCACCAAAATATATAGAGTCAAGGATCTCTGCCTAAGTGCCCAGCTCTGTGTAGAACAAGGAGGTTTTTGCATTGGCCTGTATCATTGGGAAAGGCCAGTTTTCAATAATATTCTCCAGTATGGTCAGCTTTAACACTGCTGATGGTTTGAGTGTAATCAATAGGTACATTCACACTGCAAATAAACCCAAACCCAAGCAAAAAAACACACAACAGCAAGCCTCAGATCCCAAGTCAACAACTTGGGCTCACGAGTCTAAAAATAACAGCATAGATATTGCCACTGGGGGGGGGGAGCCCAGGTTTTGAAACCTGGCAAGGATTTCAGAGCAGTAATGAACTTAAAATAATATCTATATAAAATCAATGCAACAGTTCTTACCTTTGTGTAATTTCTTACCATGAAGCCAGAAAACAGGTAACAAACAGAGAAGTCTGTGAGATCATCTTGATTGTCTGTGACTGGAAATGTTTGTTGATAAGCACACAGTGGAAATCAACACATTTAAAAGTTGTCAGAAAGGAAAAACCACTTGTGTGAATATGCAAAAGGGTCAAATTCTGGAAGTCACCAGGATTATAGCCCCAGGAAAGCTGTTGTGAAATATTGACCTTGTCTGTTTCATGCTGCAGTTGCATGTAATAACTATTTATAGTTACTCACCATTCTGGTGTTCAAGTGCCCAGACTAAGGTGGTTACAGTGGCGGATTCGTTATTTAACGAGGAGACTCTATCAATGGGTAGCAGAGCAGGCTGCGCTGCTACAGATTTCCTTGTATTTAAACACAAGCCCATCTATAACAATTGAGTGATGTAGCGATCATGACGACCAGTCTCACAGGTAATCACATGTATTTTATGGAGACTGCTCATGTGAATGAGGATTTAGCTGTGGGTTTAAGGAGCTCCCAATTAGGTATGTTTTTATAAAGATGGTAACCAGGGAAGCCCATTGACTCAATTCTTCCCCTTCCTCTTTCATCAGACCATACCAGTAACGAAACCTTCCAAAACCAACTGGCCTGTTTGGCCTGAAATCGCAAACTCAGCAAAGTTGTATCAAAATACTGCCATCTACTGGCGAATGGCAGAGTTGTCTACAGAATTTAGTCCATGAATGGCGTGCCCAAGCAGATGTCCTAGTGCTCCCCAGGGCGTGTGAGGCTACATGGCCTGATGCTGCTTTCCCTTCTGTAGTAGGTTCGCGCCGGGGCTCTACCCTCCGGGTCGGAGGGGCGCCACACCGACTCACTACAGCACAAACAGTCAAAGCTCAGGCCCCTTTACGCAGGGGCTGAGCGACTTACAGTTCAGGGAGCTCAGGCCCTCAGGCAGGGCTGAGCAAACACTTGGCTAGCTCAGGCCCTAGGTGCAGGGGCTGAGTAACAACCAACCGTTTAAAGTAGGCCCAGGCCCTGGATCAGGGCAGGGCATAAACAGTCACAGCTCAGGCCCTTTGGTGCAGGGGCTGAGCAACAATACACTTGGGGGAGGCCCAGGTTCATACCTGAGCATTGGGTGAGGGGAAAGCCGTGAGCAGGGTGGCAGGGGGGAATGCAGGCCCACCCACTCCACTGCATCCCAGCCCGGGGCCCTAGCAGCGGTTACTGCCACTGCTGGTCAGTGGGGTTTCCTGAGCGAAACACACTGACATCGGCTCACATGTCTCTGTAGCCTGACCGGGGTCGGCTATCCCCGGGCTACTTCCGTGTTCCCCCTCGGGGCCTACCTCGTTGGCGACTCCGGGTTCGGGCCAGTCCAGGAGCATCGGTTGAGATTGCTGGACTGGTGTTTGAGATCTGGGTTGAGCACCCAGCTGTGCCTTAGTCTCCCTGTGTGACTTGCAACAAGTTAATTATTCTCTCTCTCTTTCAGATCCCCATCTTCTTATATGGGAACAAAGGCCACTTGATGAATAGTTTGTTGCTTTAAGAATGAATAATATCATACCATCCTCCCCACTGTATGGTCCCTTCTGGACTTAAAAATCTACAAATCTAAATAAAATAAAAAGTAGAGGGAAGGCTGATATTACATATCTGCATCTCGTTAGTAATGTTGTATAATGGCATTCTCTTGGGATTTGGTTTAGTGTTCATGTATCAAATTATGTGTGTTTGTGTGTATGTTGTGATGATGATGATGATGATATGTATGTACATAAGTAAAACTAAAGTGTTTGATTTTTTTTTAAAGTAAGAAAAGTGCTGTTAAGGCACCCAAATAATCTTAACTCTGTGATGTAGAGGGAAATATGTGGAAAAACTCCATTTTGTCTTTAATAATCTTTCTAATCAGATCCGGGATTCTCAAACACTACAATGCTTTAATCATAATGATATATTAATTGCACTGAATCATTACAGGACATTGATACGGTATTGGTGCCCTCACTTTGTATTTCCATACTGTGACATATTCATTGTCTTTTAAATCTATCTTGGATTTTCCTAAGTTGATAGTTTTTGTTGTTGTTGCTATAAATACAGCTCCTCCATAATGTATTTTATTCTAAATTACAAATATGTACTTGCAACCAGAACTCCATCTTAATATTGTTTGTATCTGAGAATATTCTCCTCTATGATATAAGTATCACTTTGTATATTTTTTCACAGCACAGAGTGTGTCCCCGTAACAAAGTTACTTTTGGAATTGTGTGGGGTTTGTTTGTTTTTTGAATACTTCTTTTGGGCCAAAAATTCTAGAATCCTCAATTGTTTAGAATCAGGGTAAAATTAAATCAATAAAAATATTAAAAAACTCCCTCTGCACTATAGACACATGCCCTGTTTTGTACATGTTGGGCTCTGAGGGCCAGTGTAGCAGGATCTAACATCTATCAAGGACACAAGCACCGTAGCTTTCTTGAGAGCAAGGCAGGACACTCAACGGTGTTCTCCCTCACATGCCAAGTGCAGCCAGCCCATATGCTCTAGCTGCTTAACCACAAAACTGCTGCTTGCTGGTGACAAGGAGCAGCATTTGGATCCCTCCCAAACAGGCCAAGAAGGGGCCCCTGCTTTGGAGTGCAGGACACCAGTAGATTCCCCAACAGCAATCCACTGAAAATAGATATGGTGCAAAGTTTGGGAAAGGGATCAAGCAGGGAACTGTCTGCCATAAATCAGCCCGTGAGAGGGTGTTTTGTGTTATTCGCAGAATGAGGCATTTCCTTCCATGATGTCCCACACCTGATCTGCGTAGTTTGTGACTGTGTGTGTGTTAATGGTTTAATGTACCTCATGTGGTGTCAGTTTATTTGTATGTGATCTGTGCTGCATGACTAAGTGAATATTACCTTTATTTCCCATGTTCTGCATCTTTTGTCTAAAAGCAATTTTAATTTTGAGCTAATTAAGTTTGCTTTCCGGATTAATGTATTAATTCCCAGACACAAACTACATTAAGACTGTAGCCGTTCTTTGGGGAAGGGGCATCTTTTGGTTCTGTGATTGTAAAGCACCTAGCACAATGGAGTCCGGGTCCATGTCTGGGGCTTTGTGGGCACTACTGCAGTGCAAAAAAATAAAGAAGAAGAAGATGGAGTTAAGGCTGAGAGTATTAGTAATTTAGGATAAAATCAGTGACCAGAATGTTGTCATGATCCAAACACCAAGGATTATAAACCCAGAAAATTCACAGTTAAGGTTAAACTTAAAAAAAGTCATAACACATTTTGTGGGATTTCACTAATGACCCTCTGTTGTTCAGCTGATAATATGACAAAACTTCACTGCACAGCTAACCTCTCGAGATAGCAATACAATGCCAGAGTTTTAGGTTGTTAGTGGATGGGACGAGTTATCCTCTTATTTCTCTTTTGGCAGAACATTTGAAAACTAGACTCTTGTGCTACTTGTGTGTACGAGTGTCTGCTAGACTTCATGCTTCATAGAGTAGGGAGGTTTTTGTATTGGTCTGTATCACTGTGAGAGGTAAGTTAGCACCATGCTGACAGTAATAATCTCCAGCATCATCAGCTTCAACCCTGCTGATGGTGAATGTGTAGTCAGTGCCCGACCCACTGCCACTGAACCGGTCTGGGATCCCAGAGGGACGGGTGGAAGCGCTGTGGATAAGGAGCTTAGGAGCTTGCCCTGATTTCTGTTGGTACCAGGCCATCCATCCACCAGCACTAGAACTGGCTTTGCAGTTGATGGTGACTCTGTCTCCTGGAGACACTGCCAGGGATTCTGGAGTCTGAGTCAGCACAATCTGCCCATTGGAACCTGGCAAGAGAGAATAAAAATTGGCAGGGTTGGGGTTGGGTAAATTGGACAATGACATTAACATTATTCAAAGCTCCACATTGAAACCCTTGTAAACTGAACAGTAGAAATAAACTAAAAATATACCTGGAATCAGCATATAACTCTACAAACCACAGGAATTCTTCTTACACTTTGCCACATTTCTTATCAACACTTTTGACACTTGTCTGTTTCTTACCCTGAATCCAGAAAAGCAGCAGCCAGAGAAGGGGAGTCTTTGAGCTCATCTTGCGTCTGTGGGGTTGGAAATGCTCCTCAGTGAAGCATGTAGTGGAAATGGAACCATTTATGTGTTCAGCAGCTGAGTGAGGAAACATCAGTTGTGTGTGAATATGCAAAAGTTGCCCAATTATGTAAATAATCAGATGTTAATGCCAGGGAGGAGTTTTGAAATATCTGACTAGATGGTTTCTTGTGGTTATTGGATGTAATAACTATAACATATTTGCATGATTCAGATGGTAAAGCAGCCGGAGTTAGCTTGACAAGCACAGGGGGTAACAACGGCTCTTTGATTAATGATGAGTAACCAAGCGAGCGGCAGGTTGAAACACAAGTTAGAAGAGCTAAAATCATTCAGTCATTTACTGTGTGGGGTTTAAATGCAATCAGCCTAGTCTCTTTTAATTAATCCATTTTCATTATATGGATAGGGCAGATTTTCAAGGAAGCAGCGGCACCGGCAGGTGCATGGCTCTCTGCAGAGGCAC